CATATGTCATCAGCAACAGTCCCTCTAATCAGTCTTGGAGGGTAATAAACCAAGTACCGGTACTAGCAATCCGAACCGCAAAAGGAATCCAAAATCCTAACATATTGGTGAATGAGCTTTTCACATGAGGAAGTATATCAATCATAAGTAAAAAAAGGTTTCATAATGAAAAGTGATATCAGGTGTCTTGAAGAGTAAGCATACACTGCCTGGCGCCACACCCGTCGTAGCTGCTTAGGAAGTATTCGTTTCAGGGGGGCAAAAAAGGTGAGTTCAGCTGTCGAAGAGTTTCCTCGTAACTAGTTGATATGTCTGTGTGTTCAGATTCAGGGTCTTCATCAACTTCAAAACTTTCTACTTCATCTGCATCAAGATGTTGGCCATTTGACAAACTTTTGCCCCTCGCCACCACACCACTGCACATATATAAGGTCCTTTGTAATCAGACACTTAGTTTTAATAGAATTGCAGAAACCACAAGCGCCTGATTGCAAATTGGAACTGTGTAAATTGATGCTATAAGTGTCCCATATACATATAAAAAATGTAGAAAACCTCTTGACAATCCCTTTAATTGTTTGTTTTGTTTGTATTGTCTAGTAATGGAAGACAGGTCTATATTATTGGGTACCGTACCCGGTACCGCTACTCAGTATCATATCTTGATGCTCATTTGTATTGTATGGCCTAAGTTACCCTTTTGTAGTAAAGATATTATTATTATTATTATTCACATCATGATCAGTCACTTCGACCAGACCAGAAGAATATAGTCTTATAGAATCGAGCGGAATAAAATGAAGTCGTTGAAGAAACTGATAATCGTAGTGGAAAATGCAGAAACTTTATTTTTACGGACATCAAGGAGGCTATTCTCACGAAAACTAAAATTTACCAGAAATATAAAAGATACAAACCTTATCTTGAAAACCTCTCCCTCAAAATGAACAAATGCGAAAAATCTTAATGTCATCTTCGTTCTCTTATCGCCGACATTGTTTGCCGGTGTAAGGGAAATAACTCTATTTAATAAACTTGACCTGAAAGTCCAGTCCAAACATATTTTGAAAATATTAGAAATACTATCTTCGTTGTACAGCAAATCCAATCGAGTTTTACGACCTTTTAGTGCTGATGACAGTTGTGATGGAAGTGAGGTCATCCTCTAATGGGACCTCACCAGGTGTAGTTTTCTATATTCCCTTGTTCTCATGTTAAATAGTGGCTGCATCAGTTGGGGCACAGCAGTAGCATGCCCCCTCCTCCCAAGACAAATGGTTTGCACCCCCACTATATTTTTTACAAATTGAAAGATATGATTTTTATACATTTTTGCCAGAAAATATGTGTCAGAATGTATCAAATCAATTCATTTTTTAAAAAATTTTCTTGGGAATACCTTCTCAGATGCTCCATGGTAGGCTTGCGAATTAAGTCCTCCACCAATTTGCCGCATTTTTAATCCCACCTCTGCCCCCTACTTGTTACCCCCAACTCTGAAGGCTGGCGCAGACACTAGTAGTAGGGGACCATTTCCCTGTCTATATATTGATAAGGGGGCATTGTTTGACACAGAATTAGGAAAACCAATGAATCTTATTGATCAAGTTTTTTATTTCAAGTTGTAAATGTTTAATAAAAAATGTGAGTTCAAAAAAACAAAATGTTTGTTGGTTAAAGATAATCTATAAAATTTCAATATCCTTTTTCAGCTATGACATTTTATTGCCTGGCTAGCAAATTTCATGTTGGTTCGTTTGATTGGTTGTAAAAGCAATTTATTTTGGAAAGCACAGGCTTAAGAGAATATTAAGTTTTTTCTCCCCTTTTTTTTTTTGTACACCACCTATACATTTGTTCGTCAGTAATATCGTAACTGTAAGATCATCTGTTATGAGAAATCTGCTTGATATTCTACATCCACCAACAGATTTAAATCCTTTGAATTAAAATATCCCAAATTTTCTTCTGACAAATTCCAAGACAATATTTTTGAATGAGTGTTTGGCTCCAAAAAATTATTCACAAGTTATTCAATTTATGCGCATATAATTATACATTATAGTTATTTAGATTTTTAATTCAAATTTGCACACAATATGACATGATTAGTTCCAAAAATATAAAAGTGTGTTGAATATAATTTATGCACAAAGATCTAATCATATGCGCATAATTAGTAACCAACATGAAATTTATTCAATAACTCTTGATCAAGATGATGTAAATTATGCAAGCTGTATTCTAATCTAAAATATTAAACAATATGACAACATAAATGATATATTGAGTGGTAAATAAAAGCACAATAAAAAGCTCCTTTCCCCCAGCCATAATGAATTATATTTCTACACAGAGTTAGGGTCTACTTTCCCTACCAATACTAAATCTCACAAAGTAAGGGTCCATTCTGTGAAATGTAATTCACAACAAACTTTTGGGCCGTCTTTTAACCAGCAATAAATTTCATTCATTTGAAAGAGTTTGGACCCATTTTACCAATCTTAAACTTCCTTTATCTAATAAAGTATCTAAGGTTACAAAAATACTTCATATCAATAAAACTTTCAACTCCATCATCAAACTGCAAAATTTTTGTTACAAAGTGTTAGTAAGTTTGAAAATTAAATGCCCTTATAGAATGTTTATTGCTCATGTTATTCAGGATTTCAACACAAATTGAAATATAATTGTTATAATCTTTAATAACAGATTAAAAAGATAAATTCTAGTTAAAAAGACGCTGGATGATAATATCATTAATAATATAAAATATAATTTCTATCATATATTCATATATTTATAGACACAGTTTTATGGAACAACAATCACTGGTTAAAGTTTTATGCAACGTTTCGACGTGTTTCCCCATAAAACTGTGTCTATATATCGTACTCACAATTGCTAAATGCCATTCAAAGAATATATTCATATAATTATTCTATATTTTTCATATTTTTTTTGCATGAAAATCCTTTACCTTTTGTCATCAAAAATTGTCTGATCTCAACCAAATTACACTGTCACATAATTTGGAGATGACAAAAGGTTAAGGATTATAAATTATTTTGAAATAAGCTTTTTTTCTGATGACTTGACAAGTCTTACAGGGTTAAATTGAAACTTTGTTCTGTACTCTGTTGGTTTAATTTCACTACAAAATATTTGTCCTGGATTCATCAACTCTTTCATCTTTATCTTTCAATTATTTTTCCAGATGTTTGCCAAGTCAGTGAAAAGTAACCAACAAGAAAAATACATCAATGACATTTAACTTAAAGTAAGTTTAGATCTACAAATCACCAGCATATACTCTAAACTACAGCAACACAGAATTCTCAATTCCGATAGCATATCTATGTTCTCTAAAGCTTATTTCAAAATAATAAACAATATATATTTCTATGTGTATTATACTATACTATGACAAGCTTAGCACTAGCTTAATTCCCAGATTATCATATTAGCATCAACAAAAACAGGATTTTTTAATTTCAAATGAAAATTTCCACATTTTGAACTTTCACAATAATTAATGGTTTCAAAAAGAAGGAAATTCTACATTTGAAATCAAGGAACTGTTCGAGCACTTAAAATAGCACAAAATTCAGTAAGTTTTATTTAAAACTTGATCTCTGTTTACTGTTAATTTATTTTGTGCAGGCATATAAAAAGCAGACTAATACAAAATTCAATCAAGCTCTGGACCCAAATGATACGATAAAGCTTTCTTCAATATTTAGTTTTACTCCGAGAAAAGGTTTCTTACAGTATAAAACCTGTGGTCTACACGTTTTACAATTAATATGAAAGGACTAGTGTATCCCCTGCATTATGTAAATTATTAATATCTTACGCAAGACGATTAATAAACCTTAGTATACAGACATGTAGAGTAACCCTTTCTTAACGTCATAAATTTGGTGGGAAATTTGGAGCGTGCACGAGGTGATTTTAAAATCTAATAAACAAAATATACACGAGGCAAGATTTCATAAGGTCAATTATTTACGTGGAGACTAACAGCCTTAAAATTCACAACGCATTTCATGAAACAGACATTCTGTTGTTCATTTTGTCTCAATTTCTAAGTCAGAGGTAGTAAAAATTGCACAATTTCTTTTGCAAAGTAAATCTATGCTTCCCGAAGGCAATAATTCTGGATAAAGCTTTTTATCTACTTGTCTTTGACACATTTGAATTTGTCTTTTAATGAATATATCTTAATTCACCCATATTTCTATAAATGAGTCTTTATCAATATTAGTTAAGAGTTTGTTTATTCTGTTGGCTATTGCAGCTGGGTTTTTCCCCGTTCTTTATCTGCAGTTATATTTTATCAATTTTAGATCTAATAGACTAAGGCATTCTCTCATGTATTGACAATTCACCCAAATGGTAGCTTATACCAATCCCACAATGATAGAAATGGAAGAAGTATGAGCAAACCCTGCCATAATTTGACCCCCAGTGTATTATTGTAGTCAAACTAAGAGCTGCCACAGTACTTAATATAATGAAACTAAAGCTTATTAAAATGTAAATTAAACTTGGTCTGAAAATCAAGAAGAGTTGTCTTTCTTGATGAATGAAGATGGCAGTGTGGAGAACTGGATGAGAACATTTCTCTATTTACATTTCTACATTTAAAAGAATCTAATATTACGAAATTAAAACAAAAATCTACAGAAAATAAATAGAAATCTCCAAGACTCAGAATTCTAGAGAGTACACAGGCTTTTTTGTCAGACGTCATAACCTTGCTTGACATCCAAAACAAAACTTGGAATCTTAACAAGTTGAAGATTTAAAATTTCTAACAAGTCACACCTTGGTTTAATACAGAAAGACTAAAGAAAGTTTTTTCTAATATAGAGATATAAACAAGAGTTATTTTATTTCTTATAATGAGTTATCTTTCCTTTAATGGCCGCCCCATGAAGTTGACCAAAATTTTATAATGAATTTATGGAAGGATATTTGATGTAATTCTCTAGGTTTTACATGATAGCACAGTTTTCTTTTTGTCTTTCCTGAAAAGAGAAATAAAAGTTTGGGTTAATAAATTGCTGTCATAACCCAGCTCATGTTCCCTGTTGGTGAGTGAACAATCTAACCCCTTGTAATAGAGAGTTTCCTAACCCAAGGGTAGAACTAAATTTTTTCCTAATCTTAGCTTTTGTTCCACCATTCTTAAAGAGTTCCTTACCAGTAGGGTAAAACTGTCTCTTGATGGCTTTGGCCCAGCTAGTCATCCCTATTTTGTCTAATGAAGGTGGACAACACCGTGCAGTGAGCAATGTATGAAATTTTGCAAGGATAGCATCAGGTCTTGGTTTATTGTACCATCCTAAGGACTAGATGTTGTTTTCCATGTCAGCCCATACTACCTGCATCACTGACAGTAGGAAACTGGGTTTTAACCTCAAGACAAGGCAAAAATGGTTTATCAAGTTGTTATTTTTGTAATGAAATTTTGTTCCAAAAAAATTGAGTGCTAATTTTGAATGAAGTTATATTTAGTCTCACCTCGACTCCGTCTTCTCCCTCATCTGGACGTCGTATACTAGATCGGAATGATGACATACTTTTAACTTGAGAATTGTGACGGATTAATTTTCCTTCAATCTAAAATAAATATGATGTTAAGTTAACTTCAATATATATTGACAATGGGCTGTTAATTTTAACAAGATTTAAAGGGATTGTAAAGAGGTTTTCTACTCTTTTTATGTGAATTGGGAATCCAGTTAGATTTACACCGTTCTAATTTTCAGTCAGACGTCATCGTTACGATTAGTGATGTCATCAAACACTTAGTTTTAGAGGAATTGCAGGAACCACAAATGTCTGATCTGATGTTGCTATCCCACAATTCATCATTACTCTTAAGAAATGGGTTCTACAGAACATGCTTTGATTGGTTAACTTAACTTCATTAGAACAGGACTGTACTAGAAAACTTGTAAGATAAGTCAAAGGGCTCCAATAGTAATAGAAACCTCCTGCTTACCTTGCCTTCATTATCTAATAAAACAGTTTCACTGTCTTTATCTGACCCCCATTGTTTGTTTTTCATCACTAGGTCAGTTGGGGGGTCATGGGTTACTTCTTGATCTGAACTCCAGACCTAGAGAGAAAGTAGGAAATAAATAGACAATTGTTGGCAACAGAATAAAAATATCTGTAGTTCTCTCTCAATATCATCAGTAGAGAGTATATATGTAAATATGTTTTGTTCTAACACAATCTGCAGCGGAGACAATGAATCATATTTCGAGTAACATTTGTTATGCTTATTAAGTGTCTATGAGACAATTATTTTTTACGACATTCCTCATTGATGTCATAGGTCTACTTTCAATTTATATCTTCCAATAAAGTGTCACGTGACGGCCCGAGTCAAAATTCTTCAACTTTATCCCCTCTGTCATACTTCTGACAACTTTTCATGTATAATTTACAATGTTTTTAAGAAAAAAACTCATGTATACTTCCCTTTTAAGGAACCATCTCTTTATCTCCAAATCAATGGGAAACAAATTTATGTAATGGGTGATTCCCTAAAACGAGATTCTTTTGCAACATTTAAGGATATGCAGACAAGTTTGCCAAACTTTTTAACAATTTTATTGTAATACTTACAGTCATATCAGCGTTGGCTTTGAGAATCAGATTTCTGTGGAATTTATAAGTTACTTCATCACTTCCTGCTTTATGATCAATCTTCCAGTTTCCAACATGAATATCCTAATTAAATACATGGAAATTATAGTTAAAACATCTCCGAGTGACAAAATATCAAATGAAATGAACGGAGTTTTACTTCCTACTTGGGCTAATGAAGACGGAGAACGCCATGCAGGGAAATTTTGCCAGACAGGACAGCAGTTTTAGCATTAGCCAACTCTTAGCTTTAAAATTTGAATGATCCAATCATACAGTAGTTATTCAATAATAATTAAGAAATTCCAATCTACTTACTTCATCAGTCAAGTTGGAGATTTTAATGAATTTGCCATCTCCATCAGCTTCCAAGCCGATCTTTCCTTGTTCAGTAACAGAACTGTGACTAGAGAATTGTTCAGTATGTTCTTCTGACTCTACTCGACGTCTTTTCGTACCTTTCGACGATCGAGATAACAAACTTGTTGAAGCGCCACCTGTTGATCTCCTTGGTGAGGAGAATTCCTGAGACATGTTCAATCTGAAAATAGGAAAAGAAAATGTTTTAGAAAATAGATGAGATGATTATTCACAAAGATATCTGTCAACTGATACAATAAATATTGTTCTGAGGGTCCAGTGCCCAATCAAGTAAATAATATAACAATAATTATTACTTAAAGATGGGTTTCATTATATTTTAGTGTCAAATAAAGCAAACTATTTGATTAATTGGTGTTTCTAATGAATTATCATGTATTCTAAATCATATCATTATGTTCTAATTGAGTTTTAACAAATCATTGTTTTCCTTATTTGATTAATTGATGTGTCTAATGAATTATCCTGTATTCTTAATCATATCAATATATTCTTATTACATATAATTCAGAATTATAACCAATCATAAATGTCCATGTATGTACAGTCTGGATAAACAAAACAAGACTTTTTGACCTTTCTTGATCGGTCACTCATTGGAATTCAGATGGTAATTCTCTTCTAATTTAGCTAATTATGAATTAATTATGGACATGTGAGACAAACTGGTATTTTTCCAAGTCATTAGAACACCTCTACTTTCTATTCATATAAGTATTAGCATTTTCATTTTCATAAATGAAAATAAGGGAACACATCTTTACCATCTTTGGTAAAATATGCATACATTTTGATACGAATAGTTTTTAGACTAGTTGACTTTTGACCTCTGAACTTGCTCATATAATTGTGCAATGAGGAAAAATTAACCAGGACAGCAGAAGTTGCCATGAAAAATTCAAAAACTAACCTTTCTTCTTCTCCTTCCAGTAATTTTCTGTAAGCCATAATTTCACGATCCAATTTAATCTTAATTTCTAATAACTCTGCGTATTCTTTAAGTTGAGCATCCAATTCTCCGCGGATATGTGCTAGCTCTATATCCTTTGATTCTAATCGAGACATGTACATATCTCGTTCTCGGACCATCTGACCCTCCAATTCACGAATTCTGGCATCGTATCCTGCATTCTACAACAATTAAAATTCAAAATTTAAATTAAACAAGTTTGAATTTGTGTAAATATTGTAACTAATTCTTACATTTTGAAAACAAATCAAATTTGAATTTAGTACCTGAACCTTCTCAAATACATTCATACAGTTATTAACGAAATGCAATTAAATCTTGCCCTGCATCCAGTCAAGCCAAACTGTCCACAGCTTCTACAAGTCATCACTCAAGTACAAAAGATTTTAGTAATGTTCTCCAAGCAACAAAAAAAGTTTGAAGATATAATCCAGGATCTAAAATTTCTCATATAAATTTTGAACGGATGATAGCAAAATGCACTTAAATTCTGCTCTGTCAGACAAAACCTCGACAGTGCTACATTTTCAACTATCTTATCCATGCAACAAAAAGTTGGAAGATATAATCGATGAAGAATGTTCAATCTATAAATTAAACCATGTTCTCATAACAACAAAAACAGTTTGAAGATATAATCCATTTGAAGGAGTAAGAATGTCAAGTCTATAAATACCTCAGATTTAAGTTTAGCTAATTCTGAGCTAACATCATCTAGTTTCTGTCTAGAGAGTCTCAATTCTTCCCAGGCAGAACCTGCTGATGAACCACTTCTATCAACTTGATTCTGTAAATCACCCAACTGTAATAGAATAAAAATAACATGAAATTGTGAGTTAGAACTATTAAAACAGAACCTGAAACATGTTACTCAGAGTTTCATGCTGTGCAATCTTCAGACAACTGACCTATTTGTAAGTGATACGTCCTATTTTCCTGGTCCTGATTGCAGCTAATGAAGACGGGCTATGCCATGCTGTGTGCAATGATGGAAATTTTTACCAAAATAGGTTTATTGGCACTCTATTTGCAACTGTGATCTGTAAGAATACCCAATCCATTATCTCAGTAGGATCTTTGTCCTATTTAACATTCAGTGTTGTAAGTGACCATTGAAATCATTTTTCAATTTCTGAAAATCAGAAGTCTTCCATCTCCGAGCATAACACATTTTGACAAAAATAATTGACAAAGTTTTTGATCAATAAAATGAACAGATAGATTCATTAAAATACTTCTATTTTATGAGAAAATGAAGGATGAACATTGAGAATGAATGAATGAATGAATGAATGAATGAATGAATGAATGAATGAATGAATGAATGCAGATGATTTTGCGTTTTTCACAGAAGTTTATTCAAATCTGGTGTGTGACAATAAAATCTAAATATTAAATGGCTGAGAGAATGAATGATTGATTGAATGATTAATAAGAATGATTTAAGAATGAATGATAACAATGAACAAGTGAATGAACTAACCTTGGTCTGATACAACATTTCCAGTTCATTTTTAACAGACATCAGATTAGTTTCGTGCTCCTCTCGGATTTCCCGTAAAGCATCTGCAAGTCTTGCTGCGTATTCATCCTGCATCACTCCATCAATCTGAGAAATTTCTGTAGTTGTTCTACATCTTGTTTCTTCCAATTCCTACAAAAATAAAACACACTTTCAGAATCTTGACACAATAAAATAAAAGAATTCGAAAATTTTTTACAATTTGATAACTTTGATACAGTCAAATAAAAGAACTTGAACAAACATTGTCCAAAATTCAGTTCTGTGTCCCAAAGAAAAATGGTAAAGTGAACAGACTTTGACAAAATAAAATAAAGAACTAAACAATATAGTTTTAACGGTACAGTATTGTATTTCAAGTGCCCAAATAATAATGGACTTGAATAATATTAAAATATTTTTATCATACTATTCTCGAAGACCTTTAGGAAGCAACCATAGTATAGTATAGTATAGTAATTTAACTAGACAAAATGCCAGTATCCCTGAAATTGACTTTTGTGGTTTCAGAAATTTTTGTAGTTATTATTAACTTACCGATTCATAGACTTGTGTTTTAAAACTTAGTTCCTCTTTCACACTCTGTACTCTGTTTTCAAGATCAACACGTTTTAAGGTTTCATCCTCCAATTCTTTCTTGATAGCAGCAAACTGTCTTTCCAATGCTGAAATTTCAGCTCGTAATTTCTGAAAGATATAAGAAATTTAGGAAATATAAACATTATTGCAGATAATGATCTTTGCGCCGCTGTCTGGTATATCACGTGGTTCGTCATTCCATGTTACAGGTTCACAGTCAGCAGTACAGTTATTTTTTCCATACTTGGAAAATAATTTATTTTCGTGGTTTTAGATGTTTGTTTCTTAAGCCTCTACACAAGTGTTAAATTAGTAAGGTACTGGTATGAAAAAAAAAATCAATATGTCCCAACAAGATGTCTAGATTTATCTTATACATGCTTAATTAGCAAAGAATTTAAAATTTCACATTGATTTCCTTAAGTTTAAGCACGTCATTGGCATGGCATGAAGGAGAAGACACTTCTGAAAGCACTGGCCAGGAGGTATCATGATCTTCAGGCATTTAGTACATTTAATGGCATTACTCTTCTATCTCTTGGTGGGAACAGTCTTTTTGTGGCAGTGGAATGGCTCAGTTGGTAGCAAGTTAGATTGTCATCAGACCTGTGCCAGTGCTTTTGTCCTTCACTACCCCAAAACCTAATTAGGTACAAAGAAACTTACGTTGTTTTCTTTTTCAAAATGTTTTCTTTGAGATTCGGCATCTTCGGCTCTTCCTCTTAAATCTGTTAACGTCACTTCGATTTCTAAAATTCTTTTTTCCGCTGCCTTCAAATCACGATCTTTTCTTGCCAATCTAAAATGAAATAACGTAAATAAATATAAAAATTGCGAACAAACTCCATTATCTTAAATAAATGGGATAAATAATCAGTACTCAACACTTCTTACCAATGACCTCACTAGGGTACAAATTGGAGGCAGAATGACTCAATGGGAGACAACTGTGACGGACCTTCCAAAAATTGAATTGATTTGGGGCATTCTGACAAAAATTTTGAAGAAAAAAAAAAGTGGTTGGCTAGCCAGATATGCCCACTTCCCTGATACATTTTCAGTATATCAAGGGCAGCCACCTATCTGTGTCAAATCATACCAAAATTCGTGCAAGATATTGTTCATTTAAACCAACACTAAATTCTGACATAAAATGTCATCTCTATCGCGTTCACAAGCCAACAAATATTGATGTGTTTTTACTAAGTCCCTAGCTGTATCCTCACTGACACTACCAATATTCCTTATGATCAATACTGAAATACCATGAGTTTCATTTTTATCAAGACACAATCCTGTTTTTTTCCAGTCAATCATTTCCAGCATCTACATAATTGTTTTTCTATTAATTTCCGATTAGTAAGTTGAAATGAGTTGAGATAGTGTCAGGTTAATAGATTTTAGCTGTCAATTGGTAGGGAGTCCGTAATATTAATTATATTGATAGCTATCAGATGGCAGCACTGTTTCTAGACATTATTATAAGGCAACATGAACTTCCAATTTATTAACCTTCGTAAAAAACACTTTTGAGAAATTCTCTGATGCAGAATGACAGACTGTTGATTTAGATTTAAAAGAAAACAACAAAAGCATGTACACATAATCTGAAATGCAAAACGAAACCCAAAATTTTGGCAAAAAGTAGTATTTCATATTTTGCAAAAACAGCATTTGAAGAAAATATGGAGACAAGGTTTGAATCTTGATCAAACTATCAGAAAATAGAAAATATTTTTCCAAAAACAATGGGAAAAACTGCTGCAATTTAAAGCAAAAAAACTCAGTAAACTGGTGCCAATTCAATATAATCTATATTATTTTACACAACTTAGTAATTTTTGTTTTCTGGATAATCTTTGTTTAACTAATCAATTGGTTTTATAGCTTTCAATGGAATTCAATATATCAATGGTAACATGATCAAAAAATAAGTTATCCATGAAGATTATTTTATTAAATGTTTGATTTAGTCTTATACATCTTCTGGATGGTCTTTGTAGACCAAATCAATTGGATTTATAGCTTTTAATGGCAACAGATGATGGAACAACAAATTTTTTCAGTGTATTATGTTCAAAACATAGAAACCTTCTTGAACTTCAATTGGTACCCTGCAAGAGTGCAAAAAGGTCAACTAAATCATGGTTCAGTTTCAGGGATAGATGAGCTATTTTGAGGTCTTGATTTGAGTGTTGAATATATGTAAATAGTCTTCATTATTCCTTCAAAAATATCTCAAAACTAAGAATTTCTTTTCTTATATTTATAGATGTCTTTTCTATACAGTCATGACAGTGTCTCAAGAAAAAACATCATTATAACACAAAATTTCCTAGTTGCGAAAGTGAGCTGTGAACACTTTTACTGATTGGCTTCAATAGAAAATTCTTTGTTCTGAGACTAAAGTATGATTGGTCAAATAAAATGGCCCACCTGTCCCTTCCCTGTATAGTACCTTCTATATCACTTTAAAGTTACAAGTATCTTTCAACCTCTCTAATCTCTACAGGTCTTAAAAAAAACAACCCAGAACTAATACTGTACTTGTATAGATTCTTTCTAGTACTACACAGGTCAAAAAGAGTGCAACAAGGTCATTTTATAATATCAGTTCTATTGTACTTAATATATATTAACCTAGTGACTGATAAAATTTGAACTTTTAGTACTTGTTAGTACTCTTACTGATCATTCATCACTGAATTACTGAAATACAATACTTACACCAGGATGTTTGTATTTCTATATCAGCTGTCTTATTAGTCAATAAAACTAAATTTAAATCAATTTTAGCGACCAATCTGACGACCGAATTTAACCTAAAGTTAGTTTTAGCAGTAGAATAAAAAAAAACATATAATTAAACCAATAACAGTATTCCACATCAAAATCAAATGTTACACTTGAGAAAATATTTTTCTTTGGCTTTAAAAATTACGACCAACTTTAAACAGATAGTGATGAATTGAAAGACAATATACAGGTATATAATTGATTCAAAATCAGTTGTAGGAATGTGTTACTATGTTTACTATAGTGAACCCAATAACCTTGGCGAGCTAGTAATAGTATTAAATGTATTCAGGTCAAGCATGCCGTGGAGGCTTACAATCAACATATAAACTGACTGCCCATGTGTAACAAAAACAAATCTTGATAGAAAGATGATATCATTTTGAAAACATGTATTAAAAATGTGGTAAAAATTTTGTTTATTATGAAAAACTTTTGCACATCACACTCATTAACGAGATCTATCAGACCAAAATATGATAAATACAACTATACGCCGGCTGTAGCACACAAGATCTTGGTTTATTGTCTCACCTTTATCCATGTCAACCTCTCAGAATTCAAATCATTTTGGATGCCATACAGGGCTGTTTAACATTGATAGTCCAATAGTTCATAGTCACCAGTGTCAGTGGGCAACCAGGTTAAAAAAAAACAAGGTATCATCTCCACCTATGCTGGTATTGAACGTTCGGCCCTTCAGATGAGCGAGCAATCCTCTGGAACAGTGACTTCTATTCAAAGCAACAAGTGGCCAACATCTTGAAACTTGAAGAAAATCTTACACGCCCCATTTACTATGAAAATTGCGTTATTGAATTACTATGGTAACAAAATGAGTTTAATAGTTTATTTACATACTGTCAATAAAGCCAGTTACTATAAATAACTCACTACCCCCACAAACTCCAGTCATCACATAGGAATGCCACCTACTACAAAGATGGCCGACATCCGTTTCTATGACAACTGTATTAAGCAGACGCCATGTGACAAGTGAAACAGCAGGAAGGATGAAAAGGGGAGATTGAGAAAATAGGAAACATGTGTTGCATGACTCAAAGCAACGTGCACTCAATGGGATACAATAATACAGCAATCAACAAGTTCCTAGTTTAATCTGCTGAATAATTTCAAATTTTAAACCTTTTCCTCAAATTTACTGATTCAATTGGTAAAGCAGAGGTACCCAAAATTCTATATTTGAAAAGGGAGATTATCAAAATAGGAAACATGTGTTGCACGACTCAAAGCTGTATACACCCAATGGGATACAAAATAGTGATCAAAAATTATAAACTTTATTCTGCAAAATAATTACTCTGTATTTGAGTACAGAAAAAACTTAATGAAAGTTTTCTAACATTTTTCTCTCTTCTTCAATGCTAGTATTGGGATACCAAAAAATCAAAATTGAAGCCACTTCATTTCTTAAAAACTTCACTTTTTGACAAGCAAAATAAATAAACATGATAATGACATTCAATCAACTTTTTTTTTTCACTTATTCCATAAGAATTATCAAATTTTAGTGACACGTACTTAAGTCATAGTCTCGTTTTAAAAGTTTTTTTGCAGCCCCTGAATCTGAACCTAAAATTCCTGGCCAAAAAGAAAAATTCACATTTCACAAACGCCTTTTGAAATGTTCAAAAGGTTGATACAATTTTAAAACAGGTTATTACATTGTAACGCAAACTAGGTATCAGACCTCCTGAACATTACAAAACCATGTCATAATTGAATACCCAAAATGACACAAACCCTAGAAAATATTGTTCACACTGTTTTTTCAGGTTGTTACACATTGTAATACAAACTCAATATGAGTAACTCAATATGTAACCTTGATGAATACTGGTTTCAATACTTGAATAAAATTTTATATAATACCTTCACAAAATATCTCACACCCCCACACAGTTTCTATGATACAAACATACTTATTAAAGGGCTAATATGTTATGTGACCAAATTAAGACTTGACAAATTTAAAGAAGAAGATTTCGAGCGAAAAACTCACTTCCATAATCCTAATGTAACATGCTTAGTTTAAGATAAACTGGAAAATTGGAATGGGTCAAATCAACATTATCAGTGTCCCCAAAACACGTAAAAAAAATTAGAAAACCTCTTAACAATCTCTTCAAATTCACAAGGTGAAATAGTAAACATGTTTATCCTTAAAATTCTTGCTTATGAATGGATTTCAAAATAAGTATTCAAAAGTCTGATTTTTTTTCATCAATGTCATTTTTATCATTAAATCCAGCCTATATACATTGCCCTAAATATTAATCACAAAACCTAATGGAATTCATAATGGTCCTCGCTCTATTATCAAGCACATCAGTTGACTGACACGAAAAACTACTCAACTATGACGACCAATTCATCTTATTCAGCAAGTTTAGATTATGTTCTTTCACTCATAATAGAAAGGGAATATATATACTTTTATTTTTTACTTAGCAAGAGTAATGACATGCAGTGTGCAATGGGGGAAAATTTGTCTGTGATTGCCAATTTATCTTACTCAACAAGTTTAGATTATCTTCTTTCTTTCACTCATAATAATAGAAAAGAAAATTAATATTTTATATCTTATTTGCAGTTTACAATGGGGGAAAATTTGTCTGTGATTGCCAATTTATCTTATTCAGCAAGTTTGATTATCTTCTTTCTTTCACTCATAATAATAGAAATTTCATAACTTACTCTCTTCTTGAGGTTGGTATATAATAAGAATATAAGTAGTGCCATTCGGTATAAGGTTAAGTTTGATTTGACTATGACAGCCAATTTATCTTTGTCAGTAAGATGCAATATTTAGTGTCCTACCTTTCTTGCCATAGAAATATAAAGTTTTACATATCCTACTTTTTCTACTTGAGATTGGGGCAAGATCAAACAATGCCATGCAGTATGCAATGAGGGATCTTTGACTATGTTCAAAATATCTACATAATTTTAGTTTCTGATTTAGACCTTCCTTTCATAGAAATGAAATGCTGTTATTAACTTTTTGACTTCACATTTTATGATCATGTTAAGTCATATTTTGTTTACTGTGCTTTTTTGGGACGCTTGACTGGCTCATTGTACACACAGACCACAACGAACTAGTGGCTTACTCAAATGGATAATAAATTAAAAAAAAATAATAACTGATTATCAACAAAGGCTTGTATTGTATTAATAATTTGAACGGTAATTTAGGGACATGTCATTTCATGTTAATTTACATATTAGCTGATCAAGATTCTTTTATAAAGATGAATAACATCATGAAGATACACAGTATTACCTTTATTCTATCCATTCTTTGAATTTTAGGACCTATTATTAAAAAGCATCACTCTACTTGAAACACTATACTAGTTCATTTTTTTTGTTAACTTCACCTTAGCTTCAATAGGCCCAACGGAAAGGCTGGAAGTTTTCTGATGTTGTGGCCAATGCCTTCAAAACCCAACCCTGTAGCTAATCTAATCAAATGTTAATCAAAATCAATAATTTAGAATAATTCTTTTACAGTGGAGTTCAATTTAATGTTGACCTTTTCTTCCATGCATGTCATTTCAATATAGGTCAAATTAGGGGGCATTCCCTTTGTTTTTCCAACTGATCAGATAAACAACTGTTGAATGACAAACTATCATAGAAAGGGTCTCATTGATTTCAGTTTTCAATCGACCATTGTCTTCAACCTTGACAAACCTGATTCTATTAATGCTATAAACAGGTTTGAAATGCTATAAAACTTATTATCACTACCAGTTAATAGTCACTGGTCAGTGGCTGGAGGGTCATTACAAATAATTATTATTTACACTCGAATAACAAGACTTTTACAATGCTGACCACGCCCACGTCAAATCGTCCACATTCCAACATGATGTCAATGACTCAAAACACATTAAATCCTTTGACAGTTCATAAGACGGTATTGAAATTAGCAAATTTGATTATTTATGAAAATGATTACTTACTTTCCAGCTACATCTTCATAATTGTTCTTATATTTTGTCATTTCCAACTGTAATCTTGCCTTTTCCTTCGCCGTTTCGTCCAAAAGTCTTCGAGCATCGTTCAATTCGCCCTCGAACAAATCCTTCACTTTGCTTACTTCTCTCTTTGTGATATCCTCGGTGGTTCGAACCTGAATATTCAGACGATTGTTTTCATTCTCCAGAAATCGAACTCTGTCGATATAAGCTGCTAAACGATCGTTCAACCCTTGTAACTCCTGTTGCTCCTCATGTCGAGAGATCCGAGCCGGTGAGGGGGGACGCTCTCGTCTTCGTGGGGATGAAGTAGAGCTTGTATCGCCTCCTCCTGTTCGTCTGTGCGTTGTTTTAGTAACTTTCTTTGTCTTGGTGGTCTCCATTTTGTTGAATAATCCTGAATGTTAAGAAATCTATCCTATTTTCGTGTAAAAAGTAAGAAACTGTAGACAATATGGCCGGCGAGTAACCAGCGTGTTTCAGCGCGCGCTTTGTTGTCACGTGACGGGAACCTTACCGGTTTGTTTCAGATTATCAAGTCTCTTGATTATGTCTACGTATCCTTTATAGATAATCGAGACTAGCGTCAAGCCTCCCACACACGCTTCAATAGATTTCTAGGTCAAACAAAGCGTTTATCGTCTAAAAGGTGTTTACTCCGCAAAATCTGGAATATCTATTTAGATTATAACCACTAAAATCTGATAACTGGTCATTTCACCCAGAATTTATTAGCCTCGTTTAAAACTGGGAGAAACACGAAGCCAGGTGTCAAAGATCGATACGTTGATTTAATTATGGCGGTATCTTTGATGTTGTAATTAGCCAGGTTAGAATGATTACGATAAGCTGCCAGTGTCAAATCAGTTATACTGTATAACGGGATCACTTACACTCGTTGACACCCTTCGCTGACCCTTCGGATTAGGAACAGAGGGAGTTATTGACATCTCTATTATGACATCTCGGGCTAGGATAGGGTAAGCCCTACTAATGTTTGAATGAAGGTCCGAGATATTTTATCATAGAAGGATGGGTTATATAATTTTAGGAATTACATGTATTTTGTATAAATGATGTAAGCCAATTTATTAAGCTTCACGTTTTAATTGAGATCGAATAGATTTCCAAATTTCAACTAGAAGACCATGGAGTGATAAATTGGGCCAATCTATAGCCTTATACATTATCAGAATACAATAAAAAGGTTCACTAATTATATTTAACTTTATCGCTAGTCTTTTCAGATTTTACATTGTTATTTCTCTTTAGACAGTGAAGTATATTTTAGCACACTTTCAATTTAATCTTTATTACTCAAAGTGATAATCGATGTAAAAAAAAGTATGTTCTCTTCTAGTGACCTTGGCCAGTGCTTTTATAGCAGAGTATGTTCAATAACTCCCATCACTATCGTTTCCAGATGTCAATAAAAGAATTTCCAGAATTTTCTGATCAAAGAAACAATTATTTTTAGAAACAGCCGAATAATTATTTTTGGAACCTTAGGTAAATCTCGTCAATAAGTAGGTATTTAAAGATCGCAAATTTCTGTGTTTTCCAGCTGGTTTCTAACGAGATTAAATCGGTGCAATTTTGACCCACTATTATAAAAAATCAAAAGGAATCACCCAGAAAAAGAACACGAAACGAATATCCATATTTGAATTTTACTAAAATTGGAATGGTGCAAATTGATGCTATCAGTGTCCCCGATACATATGTACAATTTAAAGAACCTGTTTACAATCCCTTTAAATAAGTTTTTCATTCAATTGTATATTATGTAAGATTTCACCGACCACCGAATTGTTAACAGTAAAATGTTTTCTACGTTATAGTAAATTGTAAAAGGTGCACCATTAATAACAGTGAGTGAATGAATGAATCGATAACGTTTCTTGTATTAACAAGGTGTAGCTCTAATATTGAATGAATTCGGTAAGATTTATATATAGTAGAGTTGATTTTCAATGAAATTGAATAGACTATCATGTTATATTTCTCATTGAAAGAAATAAACCCACATTCTCTCACCGAAATAGAGTAAAACAGGATGTTACTCTCTAATTTATGTTATTTAAAGGGATGTAATCATCGCTCACAGAACAACTTAACTTTAAAGGGATAACTGAGCCTTTTTTTTTTACCATCATACCTTAGTCTCAGAAACGGTGAACCAATCAGTAATAGTGTTCAAAGCTCATCGTCGATATTTGAGCCTTCAAATCCATGTGTTTCCAGAATTATCCGCGTTTGTAAGTAAAAAGGCGAGTCGTCTTTCTAATCCTTAAAATGGCGCATCTATCCCTTTAAAGAGAATTTGCACCGAATTACTTGAACATCGATTCAAGTTTTCAAAATACTGCCCATTGCCGTGTGACTGTTTTTATGGGTCAGAATCACACATATAAATTATGAATTTGGGGGATTGTAGTATTTTTGGGTAGATTCATAAACTGTACTAAAGAAAGAAACAGCGTATACTATTGTACACGTCAGAATAAATTATACCTCTTCACATAAATATTACCATGGCAACCACTTAATTTATTTTATTCATCTCTATATATTCGTTTTATAGCCGAGAATTATCTCACGTGTGACATGCTCTTGAATACTCTATTCTGATTGGCTGAGATATTTCAATCACCAATCAGAGTCGAGGACCACCAAACTGGTTTATATAATAATATATTCCGATACCATGGTAATTGACATGAATAAGAGAAAATGGCAGTTAATAATTATCGGTTTATTCTGACCTTTGAAAACTTTGTGTTAATATTTAACATTTTTGAGTGGATCGAAACGATTTATGTGTGGGCACGCTTTAGCCAACTTTGTAAGGGGTGGGTGGGGGATGCAGCTCTAGCTACCTGGCTAAAGAGGGCAGAAAGACTGGGACCTGATTGAAGTGCAGAAGCGCTGTGGATGCGCAAGAAATGCGAGCCTTACACATGGAGGGTGTAAGGATGTCACCTCACTTAGAGCGCTGCCATAGCAAAACGAACCAGAGATCTTTGATTCCCCCCCGTCTGGTCAATAATGACCACTATGTTTATTGTTAATGATATATACCTATTTAATATCCACGACACATTAATCTCATGTGAACAAACATATTAATATTCATTGATCGAAAATCAATATTCAAGTCAACTGGACAGGTAAACAAGTAAATAAAATTCACTCGGTCGACAGTTCTTGACCACAGGAAGTCTAAGAGCAGGAGAAATAGGGGGAGGGGGATTGTGCTACAAAATGGGTTTCAATTCCAACATGGAATTATTCAAGTTGTTCTGGACTACCATTGCGTTAAATCTACTTTTGCTCAAATTTGCCTCAACCTTATCATAAAAAAGAATGCCTTTGTGCTCCAGAAACGATTGGCCCGTGTGCATGATAACCAAGACAAAGAATAGAGAAATTACAGGTTTTCCAGGTAAACAAAGAAATCAATAATCAAGCCAGATTCCCATCAAAACAATTCCATTATTATAGTTTTTATTACAGGGCAATATTAAATATTCATCGTGCACCTGGCAAGATCAATGTCATCCTGGCCAACTATAGTGCTATTGAATGAAAAAGCTAAGTACTAACATCCGAGGGCCAAACAACATACTGCCATTGACAGATGCTATTGAACTTTTCACACGGGAAAGTATATCAAGTCGTAAGTAACTATTTCATAATGAAAAGTGGCATCAAGTGATCAGAAGAGTAACCATGCCCTGCCTGTAATCCAAAACCCTATTCCCTGAAGAGAATGGTCATTCTACCTTTGGAAAACCCAAATTAGTGCTGTTCTTAACCCAAATTAGTGCTGGATTTTCAGCAGGAAGTAAATGGGGAATTATAAATGAATTAAATTGAGTTCTACATCCTAGAGTCAATGGAAAGACACATTTACAATGGAGCTGTGTTTATACGTTTTATTCTGTATTTAACTTTAGTCTCTGTGGTCCTGGTGCCACTGGGGATTTCAAGGCCTTTGACTTGGTGGAAAATGATAAAGAAAACAATTTTGAGATATTTTTTATTCAATTTTTGTATTTTTCAATGTTTTTTTTATATGAAAAACAGAAAAATGGATGGCAATGAAGAAATGGGAGACGAAACAAATCACATCTAATATTTTATAAATAGAAATAGCACTAATTAGTTGGTGGTAGAAAAATCAAACTTTTCAACATATTAAGGGAATTTAAGATTCTGAGAAAAAAATTTCAGGTTCCAAAATATCCTTGGATTGATATTAACAAAAATAAAATAATCTTAAAAAATATACAAAATATTCACAGGGTGGTGATGGATATTCTTTACTCAAGATCTGAGAGTTATTTTGTTCTTTGTGTGCTGGGGTCAGAAAATTTTGGGTGAGCTGGACATCAACGTACTTATGATGGGTGAATGAAAAACAAACAAACAAGCTTGCGTTTCAAATTCAAGAATTCTTTGTACATTTACAGTGGGGCAGTGTCACTTAACCTTACAAGGCAATAAGACAAGCCAATGAAAAGCACATTCATAATGATACTATAATTAAATGATTTACTACAGACATCACAATTATAAGGTCTTCTTTCATATACATAATAGTCATTTTCAGTCAGTTAATTTCTACCCAAAAACAAAACCTTCACAACATAGGAAGCCTTCATAATGCCTCTTCCTAATTGCTTACATAAAAAAAATATATATCATTTTTGTAATACAACCCAAACCAATATAATATAATATATTATAGATATGACTTGTAATATGACAAGCTGATGGATATTTAGTATTAGGTGAGTCTAACGAAAATATTTAAACACATTCTAGAATGAATCAAAACAAACACGACCAGTCCACATCCTTTGTAGAGACATGTATAGTTTTAATGCCATTAATTAAACCTGAAAATTTAAATTTGTAAGACCAAAAAATATTTTTTTGAGCTTGGCCAAAATAAGTATAAATTCATCAGTGGACTTACCTGGTGTTATAACTATACAACAGAATCCCTCTATAATCTAATAATAATTAGTAATAATTCATTAAACTAATTAATAATTCATTAAACTAATTAATAATTCATTAAACTAAGTACTTTTAATTCTCTATATTGTCATATTCAGGGATTCTGTTCTGTCAGGGAAGCTTTATGACACCTGGTAAGTTCAACTGATGAATATATACACTTGTTGACCAAGTTAAAGAACGTACATTCTAAGAGGTAGGATTCCTGAAAGTAGATTGCCCCTGTTTTAGGTTTTAATTCGAACAGAAATATTTTTGTTTGGATTTTATTGTTCAATGAATACACACTTTACTGTCGGTGAATTGTCGGTCAACTGAAGTATTTGAATAATAAAGATTTAAATAGATGATATGAAAATAATTTAAGGTTCAGGTCCCTCAGAAGCTTGAGCCTGTGGGGGAGGGGCACCTCCAGCATCTCCTCCCTGTTTCTTCACCCCCGAGACAATATCATCTATTCTAAGTAACAATATGGCAGTCTGAAAAATAAGGTATACAAAACAAATGATTTAACTTGTTAAATATACCAAGAATATCTTTAAATTAGTTACTTTTATGAGTAAATTACTATCTCTGGTATCTTTCTGGTATGAACAATATTTTTTTTAACGCTCAAATGGGCTAAACTGATAAAAGATAACCGTAGAAACATTTGAAAAGTCTAGACCAAAGAGAAAATGCAAAGTGTGTAGGATAAATAAACTTACCTCTACTGCAGTTTTAAGAACTTGAACTTTGACTGAGGTTGGTTCCCAGACCCCGAATTCATGTTGATCTACAATATTTCCTGTTTCACCATCAACACCCCATGTTGTACTTCCCTCTTTATGATGTTTGGCCTGAAATATTATAATAATATTAAATAAATTGGATCATGTTTCCAACAGTCTATTAGATTTGACAATAATGACTATTGTTTAAGTGATTATAAGGAGGTGTTCTAAACTTATTATGTATATCAGTTACGCTGTTGACATCAATTTGTACCATTCCAATTTTCAATCAGACATCTGTGATTCCTACAATTCCACTAAAACTAAGTGTTTGATGACGTAACTAATTGCGAGGGACATTGTTGGTACACTGAAAGAACAGATAGAGAAAGGTTATCTCTCAGTATTTAGAAATGAAAGGTAGTTGACTTACCCGTAAAGCTGTAAGAGTTCTAATAGTATTAGCACCACAGTTCTGTATTAATGTTCGTGGTATAACTTCTAAAGCTCTAGCTACAGCTCGATACGGCCATTGATGTATACCTGTTATACTCTTAGCCTTCTCATTCAACGCCTAGAACAATACAATTTATATTTGTTTATTGGGTATTTTTAACAAACACCAAAGAAGTGTGTTATACCATAATATATTTCCTTATGTATTTGTTTTATGTTCTCTTTGCTTCTGAATGTTATTCAAATCTTATTTTATATTAATGTTAGTCAACTTGACTTCCCTTTCAGAAGGTCTACATAGCTAATAATGTTTAGTTTGTATTTAGGTTTGTCAACTTGGCTTTCCTTTCAGAGAGTCCATATAGCTAATAATGTTTAGTTCGTATTTAGGTTTGTCAATTGGCAATCTTTGCAAAGAGTTCTCATACCTGGGCTAAAGCCATCTCTGAGGCGCCACCTCCAGGAGCCAGTCTAGGCTCCACCATGACATTTCTGGCTACGTTCATGGCATCCTGTAGATTTCTCTCGATCTCCATCAGCACATCCTTACTAGCTCCTCTAAGTAAGATTGTACAGGCTTTAGGGTTCTTACATTCTACCAAGAATGTGAAATATCTGGAAAAGAAGAATTTGTTTAGTTGACTAAGATGGCTAATATAATGTAAGGTGGCATGATGTCCAATGCTTTTATGGACATATATCTTTTCTAAGTCATTCTAATATCAATACCCACTGCGGCTCCCCACTACTAACTTGCCAAGACAGTAAGTTAATAAATTCATGTTGAGTATATATTTGTATAAAAATCACTTACTCATCTCCAATCTTTTTGATTTCAAACAATCCACATTCTTTTCCTACATCTTCTTCCTTCAATTCATCAGTTCTGTTGGCTACTGTGGCTCCACATGCTCTGAAATATAAAAATCAAAATCAAGTTTCAACTCTTACTATCCATGCAGTGTGAAATGAGGGAAATACTTCTAATTTTTTGGCATCACTTTAACTTTTGGTTGTTTCCTTAAGAAAACTTTGGAGGAACCGCATACGTTACATAAATGGTGTAGGGGGATTATGATGATATGACAGAACTACAAAAATATACATCTTTCCCGATATACGACAGTTTGGTGAATCTGGGGTATCTAAATAGGTTTAAGAAAGGTACAGAACATCTTCACTACAGAGGACCTAGTTTTTCTATCTCTACACCAGCTGACAACTATCAAAATGGCTATCAGAATGTTTCGACAATAAGTCATTATGCCATAGTGTCCTATCTTACCTAGCTATTCTATTATTGTCTGATTTTCGAACTCGTCTTATCACACTGATACCAGCTTTCACAAAATAATGTTGAGCGAGATCAGAGACACCTTTCTCAGTAAAAACTAGATCAGGTTTCAATTGGATGACCTCGTTACAGATCTTCTGAATATATTCTTCTTCCATCTGTAGAATTTTACTGAAAAAAAAAAAAAATATCGATGTGTCAAAATTTACATTTTCAAAAAGCAGCCCATACTAAATTAGGACTAGTACCATGACTATATATAGTATATTATATAACATGCAGTGTATGTTTGTGTTTGTGTCTTTTCAACTAAAATCATACTACTGACTAACTAATTTTCACATAATTAATAGACTTATCTATTGCTCTGTGACCTAGGCCAGTGCTTTCATTAACTCTTCTCAATACAACCTTGTACTAAAATATGGTCTTTTCTTGCCAGTGCTTCTGTAGACAAAAGTTTCCTCCCAATGCCTTATATCTATGATTGCTTGCAAGATATTTTGACAATATCAAACAATTTACACAGTTTAATGATATAAAAAATAATTCAAAAACTAAACTTACGCAAAGTCTTCTTCTTTACTGATTTCAATATTTGTCTAAAAAACAAAAGGAAAAAAAATTAGTAAAATAAAGCAGATGTTTTGAAACTATATGCTAAATATTTCTACTTCAATAGAGTCAGTTTAAATCTGATATTACAACTCCAATCTTTGAAATTTCAAGCCTTGTCTGTTGGATATTGCAGTCAAGGTATGAGACACAGTTCGTTAAAACTTGACATTGTGAAGATGCACATCTCGAAGACTACTATTTTTCAATATAACTATGAAATAGCAAAATAGAACTAAAATGAAAAAAAAAAACACCCAAAAAAAACTAACCTGACTTTCTCCTTTTTTGTATTCTAAAGAACAATCTAATAAAATAATTCGAGGATTCTCAATTTTTCTGAAAAATAACAAAAACACAAAATTCAATTGAAAAATTGTTTCGGATATAAATGGGTACAGATAATGGAAGAACGAACATTGCCAAAAGGTTTGGCCAAGGACCAGCTGGTAGAAAGGATCCTAATTGATCAAGTTGTTATCATTGTAAAATCATTGTCAAGAGGTTTGGCCAAGGACCAGCTGGTAGACTGGATCCTCATAAACTTAAGTTTTATCCTTGTAAAATCATTGTCAAGAGGTTTGGCCAAGGACTAGCTGGTAGAAGGGATCCTCGTGATTTCAAGTTCAATCCAGGTAAAATCATTGTCAAGAGTTTTCTGCTAAGGAGGAGCTAGTAGAAAGGATCCTCGTGAAATCAAGTTGTTATATCTGAAAAAAAAAATCGCAGTTTTCCTTTTCTGACCTACCTTTTCATTTTAGGATGTGTGACGTCTTTATTTAACATGACACCTTTCAACACCTCCGATTCTTCAAGTAGACCACCAGGTATCTATAATACAAGGGACATAACTCTTATTGTTTAGTCCATTAACTTGGTAGCAACAGCATTAGGGGTTTATTTCACTGTGCTTGCAATCACTTAAGGGGCATAACTTTCTTACACTTCATTTACAACTCTCTTACTCTAGATACAATTTATCACGAATGAGAAGGAATGCATCAAGGTTTTATTTCATGACTGATTTGTTTGCGAATACCAATAGTTATTTAGATATTTCTTGGCAAGGTGATTTCATCTTTCAGTCATAATAAGAGATTCTTTTATTCCGATAGTTTTCATCTCCATTGAAATCTAACAATTCTTTTATCGATTTCCTGTTCTAACGATATTTTTTTTAACATATCGTACCGGGTCATGACACAGTGAGACAGTGAAACCCAAGGCAGAGCAATACAACAGCCTATCTTTCAAGGAGGACGAAAAATATCAAAAAAAAAAAAGAAATTGCCCTGCTACTCACCTTTTCAACTTTGGCATATCGTTTAATATCTATCTCCTTTCTACCATTTTCTTCTATAGCAACCGTTGACGTGGCTTCTAACGCTATTTTACACGCTAGATCCATCCTGAAAATATGAACACCATATTTTATAAACTTTATTTAAGGGGATGTGTGAAACAGCTTCATAAACTAGAATACTGCCTCCTCTCAACAGCCATGAATATATAAACAGTCTAATTCAAATTAGACCAAACTTTTGTTCGATTCATTATTGGCTTTTATTTCTAATATAACCACTTCAGTTAGGGTCTTAACGTGCCGCTCTTGAACATTCATCCCTTTGAGGATACCAGCAGTCAAATTTCTTACCTTTCCTAACGGTCGGATTTTGTAACGCGAAAAAAAAGAGCATTCAATGTCTAATGCAACTAATTCATAGGTAATAGATTTATTTATTAATTTATATTAACGTTGTGAAGTCATTTTGACTTTTCCATTAATGTCAATGAAGGTAGTAATCCTTGTATGAACTTCATATGGCTATTATTTTTTCTAAAACATTATAGGGCTTTAATCTTGAAAACTGAACATAAGATAGTTTTAGTGTTCCAGTCATCTGATTGGTCAATCAATGAAACTGAATTTAAACTTAGTTTTTCTATCCAATCTGATAACGGTATTTTAAAACATCTGAATCTGGTTTTTAAAACTCACCATTTGCTGATAATTTTGGTTCCTAAACAACTTTTAACAATTTTCAACATTTCTTCTTTTTTAGTTACATCAACAGGAACACTGAAAACATATTTATATATAGGATTTATTCTAATCAATCAAACACTATTGGGAACTCAGTGAGCTAGAGCTTCCATCTCAGAGCTCTCTAAAGCTACTCAGAAATTAGAAATTCCATCCTGGCATGGGTTGTGATTTAGTTTTATTTGATTGTTGAGCCACCTTTCTCCAATATACAATATACATGTTAGATTTATTTTAATCAATCACTTTAAGTAACTGCTGTGGTACAGAGTTAGAAACATGCATAAACATGGTATTAAGAGTACAGAGATTTCTGACTCAAAAGAGATTCTGAATGAGGTCCTGATTATGAATACAATTTGATCATCAAATCTCTTTTCCCCAATAAAAGATATTAGTCAAGGCAGATGACTTAAAAGAACATCTATTTTGTCACCCTGAAAATGTTAATATTTTCACTAGGTCACGCTTTTAGGGGGTAGGGTGTGTGGAATAAGAATAGCTATCATAAGTTTCCAACGCAACTCTCATGTAACTGAGTTGTAAGTTGTATTCTGTACTCATGACCATTTTCATTATTCGTAACCAAACACAACTGGTAATCACTGTGAAGTAAGGGCTCTATGAAGAGAGAGACAGTCAGCTACATACCTGATTTTATCTCGTACAAGTTCTAACATATCTTCTAAAGCCTGTCTATAAGCTGCGATGATGACTGTAGGATGCATCTGTTGATCTAGAAACTGTTCTGCTACAGATAATACTTCTCCAGCTGTAAAATAGAGCAGAAATAAAGTCAAAATGAAGCCCAAAATACATCAAACCAATCAAATGAAATGGAGTTATACTTTCTACTTTTGTGCGTCTGGTTGTGCAATGAGAGATATTATGCCAGGACAGTGGCATTAGTCTACTCTTTTTTCCATTTCTATACATTATAACCTCTCCAAATCATTTGAAATTAATAACATATTTTGACAGCTATGTTATTTTAATAATCCTTTAGCGACATTTAGGGGTAGAGATCACATTAAATAAAAGAACACAATTCTAATATATACTAGTCCTGAGGTTTATTATACACAATGTTTCAACAATTTACTATTTTTCACCTGATGATGACATTGTAAATTGTTGAAACATTGTGTATAATAAAACTCAGGAGTAGTATACCATATAAACTGATGATGACATTGTAAATTGTTGAAACATTGTGTATAATAAAACTCAGGAGTAGTATTCTATAAAATTGTGTTCCGTTATTATATCTTTTTGATAATACATCAAGAACTAACCTAGGATAATAACAGACTTGGTTCCATCTCCAGTTTCTTCATCTTGTGTCCTAGCAACCTCTATCATAGATTTCGCTGCTGGATGTTGAACATTAATCTGGAAAAAGATGAATTGTTTAAAAATATGAACCCACAACACCAAGTTCCTTCACCTTAATGAAATAAGGATGCCTTTTCAAAAATCAATTGTGTTAAAAACTAAAAACGTGGATTCCTCAAAAGCAATGATTTGGAATAACAGTACATGAGGGGCTGTTGGTTATAAGGGATCAATTCTAATGATTAAAACAATACAAGTTCATTTGACTGAAAACTAAATAACTTTTTTTTATACTCAATATGCTTAATGATTCCTGTGTGAATTGATAGTTGCTAAAATTAAGGAAAGTGGAGCAGTGTATCCATATGAAAAGCTAATTAACTGCCACTAATGTATTGCTGCACTTCACTTAGGATTTAGAGTTTCATTTAACTTTTCGGATCATTAGTACTTAGGCTTTTATAATTTTCAAATTAGTAATTAATTAGAAGGTAAAAATATAAGTAAAATTTGATTCTGTAGAACATAATGGAAGAGGTCTTGTATATCTCAACAAGAATGTGTTATGAAAAACTCAGCATTATTCCATACAACACAAACTATTTTACATGAATTAAAGTTACATTGACATATTGTGTTAAATCAAGATTGCACGAACCACAGACGTCTGATTGAAAATTGAATTGTTGAAAATTGATGCTATAAGTGTCCCGTATATACATAAAAAATATAAAAAATCTCTTTACAATCAGATTTAAATATTCATAACATTATATTGTAGAGCAGACAATTGATAATGAAATTGAAGTTGCGTCGACATGTTTCAAATAGATCATCTATATAGATTTCATATCAAATATTTAAAGGTATACTACCTCTTAGATTGACCTAGAAATAAAATTTTTTAAACTTGGCCAAAATGAGTCTTTGGTCATCAGTGGATATACCTGGTGTTATAACTATACAACAGAATCCCTCTATAATCTAATAAATCCATAAAACATAGTAATAATTCTTTAAACTAATTAATTTTGAAACATGCTTAGAAGTGTTTTTCAATAATTATTTAGTTTAATAGATATATCGTGTTATATAGAGATTCTATTTTTTAGTCATGACACCTGGTAAGTCCAACTGATGAATATATACTCTTATTGAGTTTAAATTTCACTTTCATTCTAAGAGGTAGTATACCTTTAAAATATTTGATGTCTAACAAGACAATGAACTGCAGGTATATATAATTATATTTATTTTAAATATTTCATGGAAATAACGCAATGAATTTCATGTCAATTCTAATGGAAATTTCACCAAACAATTAGTTGAAAATATTTTTTGAAATGACTTTTTATAGCATTCGATGAACAAACTGACTAGTAATACGATGTCATATTCAGATAACGCAGTACGAATTTCAAAATCAATATTCATTTACCATCAGTTCATACAATTTCAGCTTTTAATAGTTTTGTACGAGGCAAACACATTTTATAATAAATCATAAATCATTGTTGGTAATTTTTGTTGATTTCAGGATTTGACCAATATTCACTATTCACTTTAATAATGCTTCTTAAACTTTTAGATGATGCATTTAAATCAAATAAGCCATTATTTATAATAGGAATATCAATAGAATATGAGTTGACTGAAGAATATTCTAATGGTGCGAGTACATGAACAGTCTTACGCAGATTTTTGTCGACGACTTAAATCTTGAGCTTCCAGGACAAGATTATTGTATTGCTAACGGATGTAAAAGTTTAATATTGGTCGCCAATTGTTTTATCGTCTGCAAGACAGAGCGTCATCATCCAATCAGATTCATTTTCTTTTCAATTGTATGATCCTCATGAGATTATCAACAAAGTGAAAACAACCGTGTGACTGCAGCCAGCTGGCGAAACAACATCGCTAACCACAACTGTTTGTGTGCTGGCAGCATTAGCTTTAGAGTATACACATACGGACGACTTCAAGGACAGATTACAGGAATTTGTGTAGATTTGGTCATTGTTTTGAGCAATCACTAAGCATGACAAAGAAGAATTATGACCTACCTCTCGAAGGATGGCATTACCATCATTGGTCATTACAATACCTCCCATAGGATCCATTAACATCTGAAAATATACAAACAGAATTTAATACAAACACACCAAAAATGTCCTCACTTTCATCAAGTTAATGAAACTGTTCGCGACACAATTTTACAACTTCTTTAAAATACCTTTCATATCAAAACTTAACATAGAATGATTTGTGCATTTTCTTTATCTGATTTGGTCAATGAAAAGAGTTGATTTCAAATTTAGAATGGTAAAAAACCTGGGTTTTTTCTAAACCAAATACTAGAATAAATCCAGGGCATAAAAAATAACACAACAACACGACTTCTAGAGATTAATATATATTTTTTGTGTTTGTAAAAAGAAACTGTCTGGTGTGAATTGCCTCTGGTAATTTCTATCAGACAAACCCTGGTCTCGGTAAACGTATAATTATCAGTTTATATCGGCATCAAAAATAAAAACCAAATCATGAATGTGTTTTCAAGATAAAAAAAAATCGGATTTGTGAACAGAATCAATGAGTTCAAAGAGATGAAATAAATTTTGTTTAATTGCTGTCTGGGATTGTATCTTGAGGTACCTTGAGGTACCAGGGCCTGGAGTTACCCACCCAACATATCTCAGGTTATGATCATATACATTGCTGGTTTCAAAGATTCAATAGGAAAGCAAAGTCTGGACAACTGTCCACATGTACTTTTAAGATATAAATATTGGTAATATTAAAATCAATGTATTGAGCAAGTGAAGAGATAAAATGGTTTGTTTTGTTGGTTTAGTCTGCCTGGTGTCAAATATAAAGATTAATCATATGATTAATACCACTTTGGTTCCTTTGGATCAAAAGGAACAGCAAAATCTTGATAACAGCTTGTGTTGTACTACTTTTAGATCAGAATATCATACTCGATATATATCAAAGTTCTTAAGCAGGAGATAACAGACAAATTGTTTTTGGTTTGGTGTTTAACAATTGGCTTGGAAATCTTTCAGTTTTAAGATAATCGCTTGTGGTCATCTGATACTGCAGTTATATTTTGGCAAATTAAATAGCAGCGACAAAGATTCCTTTGAAATTGAGCTGTCTGAAGACTCAAGATCAACCTTTATTTTACAACTAAAGAAAATCTACCTGTAAAATTTGCTTAAATATCACCCCATAATAATATATATAATAAAAGAAATATACCAAATAATGTGATTTTCAAAAATCATAATCACAAGCAGTTTTCTTTCCGACTAATGCTAAAAACATTGATTGCATCAAATCATACCAGAATTAAGACATTTTATTACATACAAGTTTATCAACAAAATCCAATTAGCATCTAGGCAATAGTGTAAATTAACAATTTCATAATAGAATATTTCATGTTCAATTAAAACTCTCTAATTTTCATCTAATTAATACTGTAATGATATTGGAATTTCTGATATGCTTTTAGTAAGGGAATATCTATATGATAACGACCTTTTTCTATTGTAGTATAATAAATTTATCTATTAGTGAGTTTTACTATATCTTATCAGATAACTCAGTCAGAACTAACTTTATTTCTATGTATCTTATATTTTGATAGAAATTCATTTGAAACAATTTAACAGATCTGTCATGTCTAGTCTAGATGGTTAATCAAGTCATTCAACAGTCATTTTAATTTGCTGAACCCATTATTTTTTCCTGGTTAACTTTTATAACGATTTTTAGAAATAGGTATATTTGGTGAACAGCCTGTGGCGCTGACACTTTAACTTGACCTCTTGGATTAGCTTACCCAGCGACAGCGACTCACTGGGCTATCCCCGATTCGCCACATACTAATATGTGACATTTAAGAATGAGGGATTTTTACCAACCTTCAATCTGTGAAACTTGACCCCAAAGTATGTTAACAGTCACTGACTCACTGAGTAGTATGCTACACTGTACTAAGTACAGGCTCCTCCAAAGTCTACTGTGTGACACGAGTCCCTAATTTAAAGATGGAATGGAGTTCAAATCCGCCCTGTCGTTAGGATGGGGTTCGTGGGGGATTGGCCCAGCATGTGAGAATTAATAACCAGCAAAATCTTCTTCAGTTTAGCAGAGATTGATTTATTTACAGTGTCTTTGTACAAAATCAAAAAGATGTAGATTTTAATACCTTTTTGGAACCTCAAAATTGTCAGAAATAATCTAAATTATAAATTCCTAGCGATGATATTCGATTATTTTGATTATTTTACCCAGCCCTATCAAGCACTAGGAGATGTTATAAATATTTTATTATTATTATTTTAATCAATTAAATTGGGATTATAAATACAAGACTGTTTTTTTTTAACTTCAAATGGGGAATAAACTGAGGCTCACAACTCATAAAAAATTCAACCAAAAACATTTCACAAACCAACCTCACGAGCTTTGAAAACTAATTCACAAATTACTCATTTTATTGAAAATCAGAGTAAATGACCTTTTTTTCTATAATTAATTTGTTTGTGTTTCCATTTGATTTCAGAATCCCCCAATTGGGAATTTCTTCCGTAAAATGATATTAACAACAAGTCTGTCAACAACTGATATATTTCATGCTGTGATGAGTACCAAATTAGATATCACAAAATTTTCTCTTTCAATTAAAAGTTTCAAGGCATCAAAATATGAAACGTATTACAGAAACTTAGCAAATAACAGGTCACCAAAATCTAACATATTTTGATTAAAAAGTGTCAACAATTCAACCACCAATAAAATGAAAGTTAATCTTGTCATGAAACTATATAATCGAATATAATAATCAATATTAATAATACTGATTTCTATCTGATATCACATATATGATATCTATCATATTGACCTAGATAGTAGTGGTGGGTGTCAAGCGTGTAGTAGACCATGATTACTCTTTTCGAAACACCTGATAGTACTTCTCTTTGGAAGAGTCAACTACTATACAACTTTTATTCTCGATTTTGTCATACTTTGGGCCAGATTTTGATTAATGGAATTGTCTTGCTTGTACAGATTTTTATTCCTCAATGAAAAACTTCTTATATTTTTATTGGTATTAGACAAAAACTTTGTGTAACCATGATAATGTAACAATGTCTGCTGTTGGTAGAATGATACACTACACTGTAATAAAACTAATTTAAACTTTAGACAATTAAAATTTAAGAAAAATGAAATTCAGCAAACTGTTAATAATGATTGAAAATTTATATCTTGGTTTTATTTTGAAGAGTTCCGTTCTCAGTCTAGACCAGGACACAATAAAAATCATGAAATTTTCACCATAAACATCACAATCACCGTGATGGTTTTGAATCGAAACTGTTTTAGAATAATTAACTGTTTACACTAGTAATTATCATCTGTTCTGTTCTCAAAACTTCTTTAAGAAGAAATAATTCTATTTATGTAATCATGGCTTGAGAATATACACCACATTGCCTCAGTAGTCTCCAATTGAAACTGTTCTGAGAACAATCAATGGTTCAAACAACTAATTTTTCATCCGTTCTGTTCTTGAACATTTTTGTAATGTAAACAGGGCTTATGAGAGACCAAATGATTCTATTATTAGTTTGTAGGAATCTATAGATTTGTTGATCAACGTAGGGTCATTAAAGACATTTTAAACCACTACATCATTCTAAATAGACATTCTATAGGCTAGTAGAACAATATTTTATCTTTTCTGACATATTTAGTAGATATTCTATACTTCTTTAATTAATTTATCTCCCTTCTTCACACGATTGGTTCCTTTTCCATTGGTTTGATTTCGATAGCTTCGCTTTGTTTTTCAGGTTACAATAGATTCTTTCTATTATACTACTGTGTAATAGGGATAGATGCGCCATTTTGGGGGTTTATTTAAGTCTTGAATATTTGTAAATATGAAAATCACTTCATTCATTTAAAAATACTTCAAACTAAGAATTTTACTCACTATTTCTATTTATGTCTTTTCTAGTTCTATATATCACAGAGTATCTTAAATTAACGAGTCGTCATTTTAACTTTCAAATGCAGATTATTCTAGACACACATGGATTTGAAGGCTCAAATTTTGACAATGAGCTGTGAACACTTACTTATTGCTTTAGCTAAATAAATTCTGGTTTCTGAGACGAAAGTATGATTGGTCAAAAAGAATGTTGCACTAGTCTCTTTAAAGTACACTGAAAAAATATCATTGTTGGACTGTTATATAAGATTAATCAATTGTTTACAAAATATTTTGCGTCAGATTAAAGATGGCTTTCCTTATTTTTTTAGTGTCAAATTAAAGAAACTGTTTGATTAATTGTTGTTTCTTGCATATAACTTAACCAATCATAAATGCCCATGTATGTACAGTCTGGATAAACAAAAAAAAAGACTTTTGACCTTTCTTTATCGGCCACTCATTGGAATTCTGCTGGAATCATGGACATTTTTACAAGTCATTAGAACACCTCTACCTTCTATTCATATAAGTATTAGCATTTTCATTTTCATAAATGAAAATAAGGAAATGAAATGAATAGAGTTTTGCGTCCTACTTTTCTGCACCATGTGGGCTAATGAAGACGGGCAACGCGATACAGGGTGCGATGAGGGAAATTTTGCCAGGACAGCAGCATTAGCCCGCTCTTTTTCGATTTCCAACTGTCGAGGGATCTTTAACGTGCACAGCCAAATGAAAATACGGGAACTCATCTTAAAACAATCGAAAAATTTAGTAACGTTCGTATAACACAATAAAAAATCACAATTTCTTAACCCAAAATATTAAAACATGAAACAGACCAAACAAAGTTGATCTTTACATACTTTCTGAGATTAAAAAACAAATGATTAATATCTCTCAAGGGAGACAATTCCTTATCATTATTCCATGGGGGATTACCAAGAGATCAAGTCTGAGAAATCCTGGTGCCAAGATGGTGAAAGATGTCTTCTTTAAGACTTATCTTTTAATAATAACACCCACTATTCCAGAGAAAAATCAATAATAGATTTGGTTTGGTTTCTATTAAATATTTCTCATAAATGTCAACCAGACAGGTTTCTTTGAATG